AAATGTTTAAAAAGCAAAACGGACTCAGCTTCCAGCTTCTTTGGGGAGAAAGGGGGATTGACACAGGCTATGGTGTAGTCCTGGATGTTCTAGAGCTTGCTATGTAAATGAGACTGGCCTTAAACTCACTCTGCCTTACTCTGCCTCCCAAGCAGTGGAATTAAAGACATGGGTCACCATGCACCACTGTTCCAGCTTGTGTAAAAAAAGGTAAGTGTATGTATGTGTCTGCATTTTGGTGAGTGCATGTACATGCTCATGTTTGAGGAAACTAGATGCATTGAGGCCCCTGGAGCTATAATTATAAGCAATTGTAAGTCACCCAATATGGGCAATTGGGAACTGAAGTCAGGCCCTCTGGAAGAACAAGCAGTTCCTGCTCTCAACCACTGAGCCATCTCTCCAGCCTACAGTCCAGCTCCTGCAGGCTTCAGTGTGGACTGAAGACCAGTAGCTCTCCGGCAACCTCTGGCCCTTCTCACCAGAACGGGACTGCAGAGACATCAGCCCTGTGACTGAGCAGCTAGTGGGTTCTAAGCCTCTCCAGCACACAGACAACCATCACCAGACTACCCAGACCATAGCAGGGAAGACATCTACTAAGTCCTCTTCGGGATAAATGTCCATTCTGTCCCTTCCACTCCTCTGCAGACCCTAATACACCATCTAAACATTTATGACTCCTGAACTACCAATCCAGCCCGTCCCTCTGAACCCCAGGTGTATGAACATCACCATGTGTCCAAACTAGATTTCCAATACTCACATACCCTCCTCTCCACCAAAGGAAAACATCCAGGCCTCTTCCAAGTTGTCTGTCGGCACATAGCATCACCATTCTAGCTCCCAAACGTCTTTCCCTCCCTGTCCCAACAGACCCATCCCATCTTCAAGGCCACTTCACGTGTGTCACTGGAAAATCTGTCCCTTCTTACATCATCCACCTGCCCCACTTCTGCAAGGACACTCTCCACATCAAGGCTACTCCAGACTACTTTGTTAGGAACGCCCTCAGGATTTATCTCGGTGGGTAATTCCCCAGGTGTGTATATGATCATGCGTCTCCTTTCTGTCTTCTTCACTGGAGCTGTGAGTCCCATAAAAACTGACAGTGCCTCCATATGTTTTTTCTGGGGGACCCTCCTTAAGCCTGGCACAAAATAGGTACCATATTCTTTTTGCTTTTGGCTTGTACACATATGACTTGTATCTATATGTGTATGTACACCCTGGTTGTGTGTATGCACACACATGTGCCAGAGATTGGTGCTGGGTGTCAACTACAATCCCGCAATCACTCTTTTTTTTTTTTTTTGAGGTCTCCTCTGAACCTGCACCTCACCAAATCAGCTGGACAGCCTAGACGGCAAGCACTCAGCACCCTGCTGTCTGCTTCCCCAGCACTGGGATTACATGCACACACCACCGTCCCTGTTTGAATTTGTTTGTTTGTTCTTATATTCATGGGTATTGGGGATGGAATTTCCATCCTCCTGCTCCTGCAGCAGACACTGAGCTGTCTCCTCACTTCAGATCACCCCTTCTCACCAGCCTGCAGAGAACCACCTGTAGAGAACACGTTTGGTTCTCCACTGTATTGGCATCAAACTATAGTCAATTATTCCTGGCCTCTGCTCAACCCACAGAGTTAATGAAAGAAGGGATCTGAGCGGCAGATCTTTTGGCCATGAGCAGCACGTCCTTGGGAAGTCACATCTTGTCCTGAGCTCTGTGTCTCCTACTGTGAAAGGTACACACTGATTTCTGCCTCACAGGGCTACCGGACAGAGCAAACTTTTGATGCTGGGCAACAGAAAGGGTTGTCGTTTTCCGAAGGAGATTTTTCTAGGAATCGAAACGGCAACCAAAAGCTGATGTAAGAGGCTAGGAAGACGGCTCAGCCATTAAGCACACTCACTTGCTATCTTGCAGAGGATCCAGGTTAGGTTACCAGCAGCAGGTGCTAGCTCACAGCCATCTGTAACTCTAGTTCCAGGGCATCAGACATCATCTTCTGGCCTCCACGGCACTGGGCACATATATGATGCACACACAGAGGCAGGCAAAGCACTCATACATATCCAAGTAAACAAATAAACTTGATTCTTAAGGCTGGCATAAGGTTTTTAGGTATTTGCCTCATGCCGCACAATACTCTAGGTTTTAAAGAATGACAAGTCAAGCCCCTGTTGGCTTCAACAGACATAATTCATAGTTTGCCAACTTCAGTCCTAGGCGGTATGGACACTGAGGTAGGGCAGCGGCAAACTCTGGACAGAGGGGCTGGGAAAGCCAGCTCTCCAAGGCTCGCTGCTGGTCCTCTGGCCTGCTCAGATTACATTAGTAACCCTTTCTCACCCCACACGTTCCAAGGAGCCCTAAGTCCTACCAAGTGGCCTGACCTTGTCTTAGCTGTATTTGTCCTCTGGGACCTCTCTGGTTCAAGCCCTAAGGCAAAACCCAGACAACCACTGAAGTTTCTGACCTCTTCAAAAATTCAGCATCCTCCCGTAACTCTAGATTTGAACTTAGACCCTCTAACTATGGGCTTCGAAAGGCTTGGTAATTGTGAGCACGGTAACCCACACTTACAGCCCCAGCCCTCAAGAGTCTGGGGATTTTAGGCCAGCCTAAGCTGGAATGAGATCCTATGTCAAAAAAGACATCAAGACAGGAGCAGAGGAGGGGCTTGATGCCACAAAAATTAAAAGGACTATAGGAGATGTCTTTGAATAATTATATGCAAAAAAAATTGCTGGTGTAGCCAAAATGGCTGAATTATATAGAAATCAGAGAAACTGAGGGAGGGGGAGCCCAGCCCTGGGCTGGAGTTTAGGGTAGGCAGCCAGCAGGCATGCCAGCCAGGATGACTGACAGGAGCACCTGGTGGACAGCATCGGCCTTGATATGTTAATAGGCGCTTCAGTTAGCCATTTGTCCCGGGTTGGAGACCTCACATTAAAAAACTTTAAGAAATAGGTAAATTTCTAGGAACATATAAATCATAATAAAGACTGAATCATAACAAAACAAAAAATTTCTATGGGCATGTTTGCCACACCTGTAATCCATGCACTTAGAGGTGGAGGCAGAAAACTCGGGGTTCAGGATCATCCTCAGCTACTTAGTAAGTTTAAAGCCAAACTCACTTACATGAAACTCTAATCAGAGAAAGGGGGGAAGGGAGCAGAGAAGGAGAGGAGAGAGAAGAGAGGAGATGGGAGGGAAAGAGAAGGAAAGGAAAAGGAGAGGAGAGGAGAGGAGAGGAGAGGAGAGGAGAGGAGAGGAGAGGAGAGGAGAGGAGAGGAGAGGAGAGGAGAGGAAGTGTTGGTACACACCTAGACACCCAGCACTTGGAGGTAGAGGCAAGAAGATCAGGAGTTCAAGCCAGACTTGCAAAGAAAGATCCTACCTCAAGAACAAACAAAACAACTAATATTTTTCCAAAGCCTTCTAAAAACTGAAGTAAAGGAAAGGTTCTGGGTCATTGTATGAAGCCATCGCCGACTCTGATCCATAACCAGATAAAGACACTGCAAGAGAACAGACTGAAACCCCTAATGGACACTAATGCAAAAACAATCAACAAGCCCAAGCAAATTAAATTCAACAGCACATCAAGACAGCTATAAACCATAACCAAGTAGATTCGTCCCTGGAATGCAAGAATTCAATATATAGAAATTAATAAATGAAATGGACCATATAAACAGATCAAAGGACAGAAACCACATGATCATCTCAGTTGATACAGAAAAAGCATTTGATATGAATGCAATACCTTTTCATGATTAAAAAAACATATCACAACACTCAAAACTAGGGATAGGAGAAAAGAGTTTCCACATAATATAGGCACATATATGCAAAGCCCACAGCTGCCATTCTACAGTGAAAGCCCGTACCTTCCTCTAAGACCGGGGACAAGACAGGAAAGCTATCTCCCTGCCATTCCTTTTTGTTGTTGTTATTTTAGTTTGGTTTTATTTTTAGTTTCCAAGACAGAGTTTCCCTGTGTAGTAGCCCTGGCAATCCTGAAACTCACTCTGTAGGCCAGGCTGGCCTTGAACTCACAGAGACCTGCCTGCTTCTGCCTCCTGAATGCCAGGATTAAAGGCATGCATCACCACCCAGCTACTCTGACCATTTCTGTTTAGCATAATACTGGAAGTCTTAGAGAAATGAGACTAGGTGAAAAAAATAGAGTATATTCATACTGAAAAGAGAAAAGTAAAATTAGCAGGGGGTGGGAAGAGACACACTCCTGTAATCCCAAGACTTGGGCAGCTGAGGTGAGAGCATCCGGATGTTGATCATGGGCTAGCAGAGTGACGCCCTAGGGTCAGTGCCCGGGGAGAATGAAGTGTTCAAACAGACACACTGAATTACAGCTTCTTCTTGTCAATTCAGGAGGACTCTGGCGGCCACCTGGTCCTGGTGATTCAGAAGGGGAGCCCATTAGAGAAACCCAGGCTCCTGGTTGGAAACAGGTTATCAGGATCAACCCATTTAAAAATATATATATCTTCTAAGGGTTTATTAATTTCTACTTTATGTGTATATATGAGTATTTTGCCTTCATGTATGTAAGTTCACTGTAAACATTCCTGATGCCTGTGGGGGCCAGAAGAAAACATCAGATCCCCAGACCTGGAGTTAGAGATGGTTACAAGTCACCATGTGGGTGCTGGGAACAGAATCCAGGACCTCTGCAAGAGCAGCAAGAGCTCTTAAAGGTTGAGCCATCTCTACCCCAACAAACCGCTTTTTTTTTCTAATGAGAAAAAGAATCTGAGTAGACATTTCTCTAGAGGGTACACACAACTGGTCCCCAGGCACAAGGGAAGACACTTAGCACCATCATCCATAGGGAAATGGAGTCAGGTGTGTAAGGAAAGATGGGGACAGGACAGGCAGAAGATGTGCTTTGTGGCTTCAAATACACTTAAGCAGGAGTAAGTTGTAGTACTCGTATGCGCTGCAAAGTGTCTTAGGGCTGTGCTTGCTTCAGCAGCAGAATACCAAACTGCAATAATACAGAGAAGGTCAGCATGGCCCCTATACATGGATGACATGTGAATTCATAAATGGTCAATCAATACTTTTTTAATGTCTTACTGTAGCACCAATAATAAAAAACCAGAGACAGATATTGGGGTTCAACCTGAAGATCAGAAAAGCAAAGCAACCAGCCACTGGCTCTTACCTCTACCTCAGACCGAAAATAGGCGAGATCCTGTCTCCATGAACCCCAAAGACTCCACACCCCACACTCACTCCGAGTTCCTGTCTCTTCCCCTTTCTGTTCCTCTTTCCACAAAGCCATACCATCCCTGTCTCCACCTCCCTAGGGCTGGGATTAAAGGTGTGTGATACCAAGTTCTGGGGTCAAATTGGTGAGAGCTGTTTCTCTTTTAGACAGATTCAATCTTGTGTAGCCTTGAATTCACAGAGATCCTCTGCCTCTGTCTGAGTCCTGGGATTAGTGTGCACCACCACTCCCTGCTCTGTATGGCTAACTAGTGTGGCTGCTTTGCCCTCTGATCTTCAGGCAAACTTTATTTATTAAAACACAAATAATACGCCACTGTATCTTACCATTGCTTTGATTCTGAGACAGTCTTGTATGTAACCTCACCTGACCTGCTCTTGATCTATAGTTCTGGAT